CTGTTTATTGAAACACCTGCCAACTGTGCACAAAACACACAGAGGGCTATTTCAGGATGAGGTATCCACCCTGGAGAATATAGAAACCAGCTACATCTTATGTGTGGATGACTTGGGATTTTAACGGAGGACTGACTGCTTTTGGGTGGTGACATAACATTCTTTCCCCCAGGGGGAGAGAATCAAGCAGGTACATCAGTTCATCCAAGCGGTCAGACAGCAGAGCTGTGCTGGAAAGCCATGTGAGGCCTCTGACACAGCTCCTGGGATTTCCATGAGAAGCATCTGTGAAACAGTGTGACAAAGCTGGTGTCTTTGATTTCCCCAGAAGCCCATAGTAGTGTGGGGACAGGGAGCTCCTGGAATTTTTAGACCTTTGTTGAAGGACTTGAGGTTAAACAGTCTCAAAACCAGTCTGTAAGTGTGACACAATTCACAGCAGTCCTGATCTTCAGGCACTGCTGAGAAGCTGCATCTTAGAAAAATGAAATTAGCATCTTAGGCAGACACCCACAGCCTCAGGCTTTAGCTAAAGGTTATGTCACATGTGCAGATCAAAAACAAGTCTGCCTTTTTAACCACAGTAGCAGTGCAAATTGGAAAATGTGGGCAAAATGGCAGGAAAGACACAAATCTGTAGGCATGGCAGCCTCTCAGTCACCTCAGTGAATGACTGGGACAGCTGACTACTCTAATGCATTTTTTCATTGGCATTTTTTCCCTTGTTCCTTCCTCCTGTTTCCCATTCCCATTCATGTGCATTCCCATTCACCTTTGGGGAATGCACATGTTCAGTACTTCCTGCAGCAGGTTTTGCATCCAGGCGTTTGCATTTAACATCCATACCAAGCCACTGGTTGGTCTCTGGCATACGGGAGCCAAGGCCTTCACAAGGAATACCTTTCACAGACTCTGGTAGCCATGAGGCTCGAGGCCTGAGGAGCACAGCTGACATCCTGGCATTTGCAGGCTGTTCTCACACAGCCCCCTTTTGAACACTGTACCCCTTCCAGTACAGGGTTCTCTTAAAAAATCCGCTCTCACCACAATTGTTTGCTCCTGGATCTGTGGGTTTGCAAGGGGAGGAGTGGAACCTGATGGCTGCCAGACCCTCCAATGTGAGGAAACTACTAAGAAAGCAAGTGTGCACAGGGCTGCTGTAAACAGCAGAGAGGGGTGCCGTGATGCTCACCCAAGAGTACTCTTCTGGGGAGTAGAACAGTGTAGGTGGTTAGAGGCAGTGAGACTAGACAGCCTCATGCTGCTAACCAGTACACATTGCTCTGCTTGTCCACAGTGGAAGGACACATGCCTCTGCAGGATAGGAGAGTAACCACAAAAGGCATGACCTCAAAGAGAAGTCAGTGGCAACAGATGGGAATGTGGCTCAACCTTAGGTGAAAAGCATTTATAAGACATCTCTAACCATTAACAGGAGAAAAGGTCTGAGCAATGAAGTGAGAAGAGCAGGAGGGGGTGGGTGTTTAGCTACAACTGCTTAACTATAATTTCCTTGGATTGACAATACTGGTCTGGGCACATCACCATCCTGATGGGGAAAGAGAAGTTCAGCAGATGTCAGTGGATGTTTGTTCGTTCTCTGTTATTCCATTTTTGTATCTCTCCCCAGCATTTCCTTTTGGCTCTGGCCCAACCCCACTGATTCCTGTCTTCATCCTGAGGGTGCTTTGTTAAAGGCATTGAGATTAAGTACATAAGCATCTGGTATCTCTTCAAAGTTAATATTACCATTGCAGTATTTATTCCAACATTTTAATGAGACCACTGAAATATAAAGACTGCCTGCTGCAGTTGTAGAAGCATTTGGAAGTCTCATCAATTCCTTTTGAAGCTCTTGATCGAAATCCTGTGTAGTGACCAATGCCTCTGCTAACAAAACTTCCCAAATATGTCTCTTGACCATATCTATCCTCTTATTCAGGCACATAAACTGTGTACAAAAAGGGGAAAAAAAAAAAAAGATAGACTACCGAGGCAGCCGCTTATGGCATTTGGTGACCTCTGAGAGTTACCTGTTCAATTTGGGATCTTTCTGGTCAGTGTCTTGCAGGAAATCAATGGCTGATTCAACTCCCAGTTCTGTGGCTCTGTGAGAGGGCAAGAGAATTAATGATAACAGTCACTCACTTGTTAACAAGTGCCTTGCTACAGAGATGAAATAATTGTATAACTTTCATTTTTTACCATGTCCTATGACCCAGGTAATTATGTGCTGAAGGCAGTTACATTTTACCTAGTTATTGGCCTGGTAAGGGGAAATCTACTGGCAGTGATGCAAAAGGCAGACAGACCTGCATAAATTGTAAGCTTTGGATTGAGACCAGGGAAAAGAAAACCAAACTAAAACATTCACATGTCACACCACGTGCACTAGAACAAACCAAACACTGTTACTCTCTGTGGGTCAAAGGTGGCTATAGGAATAAGCAGATATCCAGGATAGAGGATTAACTGGGGTCAGGCTGGAGATAGAAACAGGAGAGAGTGACCCAGATAAAGACAGGAAGGATTTAAAGAACAACTGTTGCACTAGCTAGTGACTAAAACATCAGCTTTTCCATCATTTTTGAATACCAGAAGCAAACTGATTTCTCTGACCTGATAATTTGCAGACCAGGGAAATTGCCATGGGAATGCTGGAAAAGCCACTCTGGGGGCTAGTCATCTCCATCCTTACCTGGGATCTTAGCAGGATTGCTTGGCTGCAGTGAGAGCTGGGAGCTGAGAGGCCATGAAACACAGAGGGGAGTTCAGAAACCTCCCACAGAAACCTTGCACAGGAAAAACAATGTGATGGATTACTCAATTTTTCTCATGGCAGGAAAGACATCCTCACAAATGAGTTTAAATCCCTCTGCACAAACCAATGGCTCACAGTTAGGGAACCAGCTCCAGCACTTCCAAAGCTCATTAACTACTACTTAGGCAAAGCAGTACCAGTGAGCTCTTGGCACAGAGGAAGGTACACACTCTCATGGTTGTCTGTGTAACAGACAAATATGGTCCTTCTTGTGCCCAGGTACATGCACACAGTTTACAGGTCATGATGAAGACAGCAGGAAATGTGATTCCTTTGCAGCTCTGGAAAGGCAAGGCAAAACTATTTCCTTATAGGATGCAAAGCTACATGGCTCAGTGAACCACTACACCTGCAAAGATGGAAAGCATCATAAACACCTCTGTCCTTAAAAGCCTCTTGCTCTCACAGGCAATGGATTCAGACTCTAGACTCCCACAGCCCTCACCTCTTGGGCAGCCCCAGCAGGAACTCTTCTTCTGGCCAGGCTCCTCTGGGTCCTTGTCTAAAGTGTAGTTAGAATGAGAGATACACCTGTACAAACACCTGCCCAGTGTAAAGTGAGCTTTGCTGCTCCTGCAAACCAGGCGCTTCTGGTGAACTCACATCCTTGTTTGGAGAACGTTCTCTTCCTTCCTGTGATAAGAAGGTGCAACATGTTGATCAGTGCTGACTATGAAAATAACAATTTCTTTGTTTTGCTGTCTGTAATGCCAAACTCCCTTTGAAAGTTCAGCAGTCTGAAGGCAAACAAGAGAATAGACTGAATGGCCATGAAAACATCCTGAAGTGACATTCCCTTCCCTCTCTCTTTAAGGTGAGACATTGCAGCCCAAAGAACTGGTTAGACTTTGTACTTTTGCTGATTGTTATCAAAAGGCAGACGAGGAACACCATTCAGGGCATGAGTATGCTATAGACAAAAATGTGAGAACTATAATACACAAGCTTTCCTTTGACTGCAAAACAAATCTGTGAATCAAGACACAGTGAGAACAATAGCCCTGTGGAAAGGACGCAAAGCATACCCAAGATAGTATGTTTGATGCTACTTGAAATACATAGCTGATAATTCAAAGCTGGTTAAAAATGTCATTAGCATCTGACTTTGAACAAGGAGATCACAGAGATGTGACAGGGGAGCAGGTAAGAGCAAAGGACTGTTTTGTGAAGTACAGAAGTTAGCCCTAAATGTTGTCCTTTGCAGTCCGTCAAGTATAAGCTTACTATGTCAGTTAAAATGGAGTTTTCTTGTAAATCCAGGGTCAAACATCAAAGGCTCCTGAAAGGACACAACGGCATATGCGAGAAACCCATAAACCTTCCAGATCTACATTGAACCTTAATGTATCCCCATGTGGCTCTCAGGTAGCCAACAAGAAGAGGCAGGTTCCCTCTTCCCCTTCCCTATAGCATGGTAATGCAGATGGGGAAAGTCCCTCATTTTCCACTGAAAGGAATGGCCTAACTGTTGCAGCCCTGTAACCTTACCATTCTGGTCATGGTGTTCAGGTTTATTAGGTAGTAAGCTGAAAGACTTTGCAAGGATGACATTGTCAGCTAACAAGAATAAAACAGTTATTTATTGACTAGTAACACAAAGTATCACTAAGATTTAATGAGCAACTTAGATGAGCATTGTGCTTGCCATACCTTGGAGACACCAGAGGAGTCACTGGTGGTCAGCCCTTCCCTCTCAGCCTGAGCTAAGCTACACAGTGTTGGCTTTCCATTGGAGAGCATTTCAGCATGGTTTCACCATTGTTTTTCAGTGGCAGCAAATACAATATGAAATCTGCCCAACTACTGGAGTAGTATGTACTGAAAATCATATTGTTTAACCAACTAGCTAGAAGGGAAAATCCCACGCTTTTGATAAGCAGTCAGATTGTTCCCAGCAAAATAAGAACAATTTTCTATTATTTTTGGCTTCTGTTGTCGATCAGTTATGATAAATGCAGGAGGCCTCTAGGTCAAAAGGTAGAAAAGATCCGTTATTTTCTGGGCTGTGCAATGCAGTTCAGTGATTTTATACTGAGCTCACAATCTATTCCAAAGTATGTGTTTATTGATCTGGAGTCTGAGTTCTCCAAAAGAAACTCTTCCATCTGTCATCAAACTGTACTTTGACTCTCACCTCTTTTTCTCTTCTATTCCTTTTCCTTCCTCCTTTTGTTCAAAGGATGAGAAGAATCAGATGTTGATCACAAATTCTTGGCTGCAGATGGTGAGTAACATGGGTCAATAAAGGAAAAAAAACCCTAATTACAAGCTACTGAATGTCATTTCTTAGCTGAAAAGCAAAATTACTGTCTTTTAACTTGTCTATAATGTGAAACAAGCAGGTATTTTGAGTCCTTTGAAATTTCTCTAGTGCTCCTTGTAGCATAGAAAATAAAATGCAGACATTAATCCTTTGGTAGACCTGTTGACCTTTGGAGGGTGAAAACAACTGCATTGTTAGGCCAGTGGATGTAGAGATTTAATAACAAAGAGCCTGAAGTTAGGGGCCCCCATAGCTGAAAGAGACATTCTTCAAGGGCCTGAGGTCCTCTCCAAGGCAAGTGATGGAGTCTTGTTGTGAAGGAACTAGACACCCAGTAAGACCAGGCAGCCTAAACTCATGGCTTCTGGAAAATCCTCACCTCTGTCTGCACAGGGGAACCAGGGGTGATACTGTGGAAGGCAGGGCACAAAACTCCCCAGTATATGTCCCTGAGCACAGAAGTGGTACAGCCACACCAGATCACGTGGGGACTGCTTGGGCTGGGTTGTGGGATGGCCAGGGACAGCAAGCAGTGCCATGTTGTGCTGCTGCTGTCAGTGCCCAGGCTACTGCCTTCCTCATGCTTTACAAATGTCATCCATAAACATACCTCCTCATTTTTCTGCAACCTGGTACAGCTGGGGAGTGACCTGCGCTAGTCCTGCAGGATAAGTAAAACTTATCTTCAGTGAGGGCTTTTGGGGAAGGAATTTCCTGTCAGGTCTGCTGAGAGATATGGTCTTTCCTTATGACGTGTAAACTGAGCTCCTTAATGGCTTGTGCTCAGTCAAGATGCAGCTCTGGAGGGAAAAGCCTCTGGGAAACTTGAATGGTTGAACTGAATCTGCTTTGACTTTTAGCAGCCAAATACTGTCTCATGTTAATGATGTCAAGTGAACAAGCTGCTCCTTCCTCAGCTACCTGCTGGGATTTGCAGCAGAAATTAGTTGTTTACTATTGCAAAAACTAACCCAGACCAACCTATAGAACTAGGGGATTGTTAGAAGACAGCCTATGGGTGTCTCTTACAGAGGTGTTTTTCAGTAATAGCATCGATAACTGTTTCCCTTGCTGGTCTCCCACAGAGGAAGTCACAAGGCTCGGCACCAAAGCTGTGCCTGTACCTTCCTTGAATTAACTGTGTTAGGGTGGAGGAGAGAGGATCAGAAATAACCTCTTGGGATACAAAGTTAATTTGCCTACCCCTCAGAACAAGGTAGATATTAAAATAACTATCCAACAATGGTAACAGATTAAATTATTTCCACCAAAAAGGGACTTCAGGCAGTGATCCACACATCATTGGTGATATCCAAGTCATTCAAACCACCTCAGCTCAGAACAACAGTGCCTCATGGAGGTGCCTACTGCCAGTGTTTCTGCCAGCCCACCAGAAAAGGTTTGGGATGTAGAGTTTAGACATTAAATTAAAATACATTTTATAGCATTCTGTTATCACTCTGTGTACTCCTTTGTATATATGCCAACATTTCTTAAGAATTAAAGCTGGCCGTTATACTATTATCATTCTAATGCTACTAGCAAAATCCATTTTCTACCCATAATATTCCAGACAAATTAGAAGAATTTACCCGCTCATATAATCTGATGTATGTATTTGCCAACAGTCCTGGGTTGACGTTTACTTGTCTTGGGATCAGTATGAATACCCAGGAGTGCAGAACTTGCGATTTCCAGCTGACCAGATCTGGGTACCAGACATTCTTCTGTATAACAGGTAAGTGAGATGTGCAGCAGATGGTGGGAGCCTAGAACTAGAGCATTAAATGCTGGAATTCAGCCACGCTTCACTGATGTTCTGTGGTCTTAATCTTGAAACAGTCAAAAAAAAAGCAACTAAGTGCCAGCTAATAGATTTTTCTAATAGCCATGCTAAGTCTTCCTTGCTGTAATTCTGCAGATGTTGTCTTTACCTTTTACTAGTGAATGCAGAAAAAACTGTCCATATTATCCTTATAATTACCATGGCTCTCCTGGAAAATTATTATCACGTCTGTGCCATATTGTTCCTGCCTGGAGTAAACACACAGATTTTCTTGTTCCTGCCTGGAGTAAACACGCAGATTTTCTTCTCACTTTCCTCATCACACATATTTTATAGTTTTCCCCATCATTTTTTTTCCCTCTGAACACTCTCTTTATCTGTTTTTTCCTCCTCCAGAGCTGAGTCCAACTCTCTAGCAAGCACCTCTGCAGTGTTCAATGGAGTGCATCTCTCTAGAAAGATGTTTTCCAGGACTAGGGGATTTTGGGTTTTTTCTGACTGTATTAATTTTTGATATATCGCAAGCCTCAGATGTTTTACTTCAGCACTGCTGTCTCACTGGATTTTCACTGGTCTGTCTTTCTCTGAGTTTTAAGGATAATACTTTCTAATCATCCAGACTGAATTTCATTCTCTTGGTTTCCCTTGCTCACCAAGATCCATTTTTCCCTGCTAAGACTTCACTACAAGATATCTGAAGAAGGCTTGGAGTGACCTGAGTTGTTTTAGAGCTCTTGACTTCAGTTTTTACTCTTCAAAGTGTCTATTCCTTTCCAGTCTCTAAAAAGTAAGCATGTAGCCTGGTCTATATTACTGTAGTTTGATTATAATAACATGACTTGGCAAAGGCTTTCTGAAGTTCAGATATATCACCTGCCTCCTCTTACTCAGTTAGTAAGAAAATGAGGTTGATTTGATGCAGTTGATCCTTGACAAACCTATGCTAGCTGTTTTCATTCCATTTTATTTGTAGTTGTGTCTGTAATTTCACCCTTAAGAAAAGAATAATCAAAGTTCTCTTTCATCTTACCTAATTCACTGAGCCCTTCCCTGTTATCCACAAGCTCTCACAGACAATTTTTAATGCTTCAGAGGGTATTTCGGCCAGTCCCTTCAGTTCTCAGGAGTAAGTTTCTTCAGTCCTGCCAACTGGAATCTGTCTTATCTACATTTATTTAACCTGTTCCTCCCCTGTGCTGCCCTGGTGCCCTGTCACTGTGCGAAAATTAATTGTGATGAGAAGAGTGAAACAGAGATGGTGCAGCTGTCTAAACCCTGTTGTTTCCTTTCTTTCCACAGCAAATAAAGAATCTCTCTGGTCCTCAGTCTTTTCTTTTTTTCCTTACATTTATAAAAACCTTGGTGCCTATTAAGGCACCAAGTTATCACTCATTCTGCACTTAGCTTTTCCAACATTATTCTCTCCATTTTGTGCTGGGGGCAATACTTACAACAGATAAATCAGACATGAATAAAGAGCAGGTCACAGGAGGAAGAGAGGGTCTGAATTTTACACATCTGGTTGTGAGACAGGGTGCGTGCAATGGTGTAGTCATGCCACATAGACATGCACATAGCCATGACAGGCAAGGCTGTAGATCGTCATCCAGGGCAACTCACTGTAGTTAATCTCTTCCCCAGAGACTTTCTGGACTGAGTCCTCAGGCCTCCTCAATTCTTGTCCTTGCCCAGCTCATTACTTCCTTATTTTTATCAGAATTTCTGGAATCCTAAAGATATGCTATGTTTTGGTTTCTGCTCTTAGAGAGTTAATTAATTTTTTTTCCTACTAACCCCAAATTTAAAATAACTCCTGAGTGCCTTCCTCCACTGCTTGAAGCAAAGCCTTGGCCCCTTTGCAACCTAAGAGACTACAGAGAGAATTGTCACCTCAGGCCATGATTACTCTTGCAACAGAAACCTTGGTAACAGATAACTTGATTTACACTGTGAGCTGCCTGATTCTGACAGCAGCCTCGGAAAAACCACAGCATCCTTACTGTCCAGCCTTTGGATACAGTCAGTGTGAAACTTTTGCTCCTTTCACTTCTGCCTTTGTCCTGAGACATCCAACAGCTCTGTCTCTCACTTCTTTGAGGACACTGCCGCATGCCTCAGTGCAGACCAACACTGTCTATGAGAAGCTGAGATTCTGATTGAGGGTGGACTCTTTACCCAAGGGTAGGACCTTAATAAAGACATTCTGTGCATTGAATTCAGCCAAAAGATTATTTTTATATTGACAGTTACTACACCTTAACTCAAACATCGGCTTGCTTTTTCTTTGTTTTGTTTATGCTCTGTTATAGTGCAGATGAGAGATTTGACTCGACATTTCACACAAATGTGCTGGTGAATTACTCTGGATCCTGCCAATATATTCCTCCAGGTAGGGCACAGAGTGTGTTTCTTTGTTTTAAGTCAATGTGTATCTTTCAATAAGTACAAGCTGTTTTCTTTCATTAATTATACCAAGGTGTTTAGAAGCAGCCAGTGGAAATTTTGTAAGCTGTGTAATTAGGGGACAGATGTACTGAAATTATTTAGCTCCATTATTAGTGGTGTATTTCCACCTCACAAATCAATAAATCACTTTCCTGAGCAGTTTGCTTAGAACATTCAGAGGCCCAAATGAGGTGTTGTCTAAACCAAGTGGGTGTGCACCCTCACATCACATTTCATGTCCAATCTAATTACATCTTTCTTGAGATTGGAGACACAAGTGACCGCAGGAGACCTCAAAAGCTGCACTCCCTCTGCAGTGAAATCATCCCTGCCAGGATGAGGCTAAAATACCAGGTGCAAAGGCACACTGAGACTGGCCTCAGCCAGCCAGATCCGAGTCTCAGCCTGCTTTCCATTGTTATCGCCCAGCAGCCAGGACCTACCAGCAAATACAGAGGTTATCCCCACAAGGGCTTACTGTGGCGGACAAGAAATAGCCAAACTTTTTCTGTCACAGCTTCTGGTAGACTGATGCCAAGCATGTTCACAGGGCCATTGGGGAACAAGTGGGTCTTCCCTGATGTCCGAGTCCTCTGTTGATACCTCACCCTTCTTTAAGAAGAAGGGTGAGGTATCAACTGGTTTCACTGGGACAGACCCATGCTTAAGTTTGCTCTCCAGGCAGCAAAAAGATAGAGGAATAAAACTGGCATGTACCAGAGCAGAGCCTTCTCCATCCTTCCAAGTAGAGAGGTGATGCAGAGGGTGCCTATATGGCAGATCTGGTGTGAACTGGCAGATCTCCTGGTGAGCTGAATCCAATGATGAAGAATTGGTTGCCCAAGGAAAAAGTAAAGAGGAAAAAGAATAATGTAAATCTGCCGTGTAAAGAAAAGGAAATCCTTTTTAACAGAGATTTGAGTGCTGGCAAACTCCTTTGCAAAATTTTAGAAGGGAAAAGTTGATAATCTGCCTCCTGACTGGCAATAAGGGCTCACAGAAGCCACTAAATTAATTAAGACACTGAAAGAGTGGAAAAGATTATGTTTCCAAAGCTTCATGAAAATTTTATTTCCCATGGCTCTGAGTGCCTGCTGTACTCACTGCTGCTCTCCATTAGAGAAAGAAGATACTTGGAGGGGGAGAGAGAAAGGACAAAAAGGGGAGAGCTGCCTGCTATTAAGGAAAGGAACCAAACCAAGATTCTGGAGAAATTTGGAGAACATCGTCTATGTAATCCATCCAAAAATGGATGGCCATGAAGTTGGGAGTCAGATCTCCCACAATGTAAAGAGATGAATGAAGTGAACCGAGCCACCTAGAGCAGCACTGCCTGTGCAGGGATGTGATCTTGCACACATGATTATGATAGTCCCATCAGCCTTTGCAGCAGAGGGCAAAGACAGTATTCGAGGATCTCTGTTTTGGGGGTTTTATCTTCAAATGGCACAAAAGAATTTACTGCAAAACACAAAACTGCTCAGTTAGGTGACTCATGGCTGGGACATTGCGTGGTGTTTCAGGGAGCACATAGAAACCGTTGTAAACAGACAGGGTAAGTGCAGCATTGGAAATAATTTTCAAAAGAAGTTAAAGCTGTCTGTCTTTCCTTCCCACAGTGCCTCTTAACTGGCCAGCACACAATGAGGTGCTGAGATAAGGTTAAGGCTGCAAAGCCATTGGCCCATATTGTGGTGAGGGTTCTCAGGAATGACCTCTCTGCTTTGCCACCAACTGCCAGTGATGCAAGCTGTGCAGATCATCTTCCCAACACTCCAAGCCCTCCATGCTGTCAGCTGGCTGGGGAAGTCCCACAGCCACAGCTTTGGCCCCCAGAAGAAAGTTTGGAGCACCCAAATTTTTTTTCATTCCCGTCTCAGCTGAGTAACAAAAAAGGGGAAATAATTAGTTTGCAAAAATACACAAGCACCAATCTCCTAAACTGCTTAAAATGTCACATGAATTAGTGATAGTGGACTAGACACATTCAGAGTAAAATTCCAGTCCCAGGTTAACACACAGAAGATAAAGGCCAGCACCAAGCAAGGTTTAGCGTAACAGTGTAATTTCAAGGGACTGTGAGCCTAATGCAGGGCCTGAAAAAGAATTTATTTCAAAGAGCTTGTCACAGTACTTCCAGTCACACTGCGTGGCCACATATGTACTCTATGCTCGTCAGGCCCTGCAGCACTGCTTGTGATCTGCTGGTGCTAGCCAGCCACAGGAGGCAGGCTCGGCTGTTCCTGGGTGACCAGAGTGTTCTGGGCAATCTACGTCAAGGATGCAGTGAAAGCTCGAGGGATCTTCACTGGGCCCCATGAAGGGACTTTGTTTCACTCATGGCAGAATCTTCCACCTGCACTAGTTGTATGGCTAACCCATGAGAACATCAGACAGGCTTTTGGAGAAGAAAATTGCTCATAATCAGACAGATAGACATTAATTGCACCCTGCAAATTCTTGACTTCACCGGATTTCTGTTTACAGGCATTTTGAAGAGCACATGTTACATTGATGTCCGCTGGTTCCCCTTTGATGTGCAGAAGTGTGATTTGAAGTTTGGCTCCTGGACTCATAGTGGCTGGTTGATTGACCTGCAGATGCTAGAGGCTGATATTTCCAACTACATCTCAAATGGAGAATGGGATTTAGTGGGTAAATAGGCTGGTCTAAAAATTTTCAGTTGTCTAATTTTCAAAGGCAAACTCCAAACATATAGAAAAAATCAATCCTACTGAAACATGAAATACAAATATCAAAAGTTTTTATGCAAAAGGCAGCAAAACGGAAACAAACCAAAAGCAATCCCCCAAAAAACCAACCACCAAACAAAAAAACAAAACCAAAACAACCCCAAAAAAACAGATCAGAGATAATTTTTCAGATGCATTCATTGAACTGTATCTGAAACAACTGTGTTCTGAAGCAATTGCCTCAACTAAGGGCATATGTGAAATCTACTGAGCAATTTGTCAGTACTAAACATGAGTGAATCTTATGTATGCACATGGAAGACTACTGTCACATACACTCTAACACATCAGCCAAAAGTTGATTGTTTTAAAAAACACTATTTAAGCAAAACTGGAATGAGCTTTTAAAGAGGTGAAGCTCTCTCACCCAGAAAACCATCAAAGTGTTGACAAGTTCATCATAACTGCAAATGACTGCAGTTCAGTATGTCTCTTCCCCTTGATGCTTTGGAAGATACCGGTATTTTTAAAAGAGCTTCTGGTGAGTTATTTTGAACTAATTTATTCAGATGCAAGTGAGAAACAAAGCCATGAAAATTGATAGAGATTAGACCATCCTGAAGAGAGCTTGCAGAAGGAATATTTCATCTTCTGGTCTAGAAATGTAGACCAGGAAATAACTGTCACTGACAAATTGCATGCAGTAGTTTTACATTACAATAGTAGTTTTACATACAATAAGAAGTATCAGTATTCAGTTTAAAGAGAAGGTGAAGGACACTGCAGGGAAGTCCTTCTAAAGTCTGTCCATTTCAGAGTGCTCCTGACTTTCCAGTGTTCCTTTGTAGCAGTCATTTCTGTCGAAAAAGTTTGCATATCTGATTAAGGGACTGAGCAGTCTGTGGTTTATCTGCCTTCAATCCCGAGCAGGGGTGGACAAAATAGGTCCTTATCTAGCTCACACAGCAAAATCATTAACATCTCAGGCAAGCCATGGCCATGCCCTTTGTGGCGACTTCACCACGCTACTACCAAAAGATACACGTTGTCACATCTTCTTTCATTTGCCCAGAAACAAAAAAATGGGGTGAACAACAGTGTCATAAAAAATACAAGGTGATGAGTTCTTCCATCTCACCTGACTTTTCCTGTACTGCTGCAGTCCCTAGCATGCAGCATCTCAGGCTACTACTGCGTCACTAAAGTACAACCTGAAGTACAGCTATATTGGATAACTATGTCTCTTAATCTTCTGCTATGACAGACTTTAAGCTTAATTTGACACCCATTTTGAAGAGTAATGCACATCCTGTTTGTTTCTCCTGACAAAACAAAGCAAATTCGTGTAAGACAATGACAGAAAAATAAGAACTGGTAGCACTTGTCACACCAAAAATGTGCTGCATGGGCTAGTGAACAAGAAATAGGTGGTTTTCACCCTTTCCTGGATCCAGTAAAGGACAATACATGTTTTACTGGCCACTGCTTGCAAATCTTCCCTTATTAAGGTTGGGATGTTCAGAACTGTTTTGATCTGGCTCAGGTTAGTTTTCTTGGTTAAATCAGATTCTAAAGACTAAGAAGGCATGAAAATAAACCCTAGAAAACACAGAAGATGGACTAGAAACAGCAGACATCTTGCACTATTGCCTCAGATATTGCCAAAGACACTAGTACACTGAGTTACATTGGCTCATTTAACCCTATAGTGATGTATTTCAGCTTTCAAACAACATTGAACTGAGGCATATTGTCCTTTGTCCCCTTCAATCTATTCATCCATGTGTACGTCATTGGCCACAAGTGGTACAACATGAATTTTGCCTGGTAACTGATTAGGGAGTGTCTTTTCTCTCTCACTGATTGCCACAGGACATCTTCAACACACAATGGGGGGCAGAGCTACCACACATTGGCTTATATAAAATCAGGTCATAGCCCATTGCAAGATGACTCCCAGGAGTCCTGCACCTCTTCCCACTGCTCTGATTTCTCTGTCTATAGGTGTTCCAGGAAAGAGAAATGAGTTGTACTATGAATGCTGTAAAGAACCATATCCAGATGTGACATATACGATCACCATGCGCCGACGCACCCTCTACTATGGCTTGAACCTACTCATTCCCTGCGTTCTCATATCCGGCTTGGCATTGCTTGTTTTCCTTTTGCCAGCTGATTCAGGGGAGAAGATTTCTTTAGGTATGTGCTAAAGAATTAACTTCTTTCAAAAGCACTTCCTACAAAATGGAAATGAAATACCTCCTGGTAAATAAAGATTTCCCTGGACGAGTAGTAGATGCATTTGTTTGGTTGCAGAAACCAGGGTTACAGCTTTCTGCATGCCATTCACACATCATGCGCTAAACACTTCAAAATCATTTGGATTTTACCCTAGGATGAATCAGAACTTGGTGGCACAGGCAGCAGTGATAGTACACTGTCATCCCTATTTTTCTGTTCTTTAGTATGTGCCAGAGCTTTTCACGGCTGGATTAATTCTGGGTTTTGTATAGTACATACTAAGACAAATAGAGTGAAGAGTTATGAGCAGCAGCAGCTGGGCACTGCATTTTCATCTTCCATGTTCATCTCCCAAAGCAGCAACCCATGAGTACATCGTGAATGCAAAGCAGTGGCAGCCAAGGAGTCACCATCCCTGGATGTGTTTAAGAGCCGTTTAGATGCAGTGCTAAGGGACATGGTGTAGGGGATGACTTTGTAGAGTAGGGTAGATGGTTGACTCGATGATCCCAAGGGTCTCTTCCAACCTAGACGATTCTATGGTTCTATGATTCTATGAAATAAGATTTACTGTTTTGTGTGGAGCCAAGCCAGGAGGGATGCTTCCAAGAGAAGACAGAGGAAAGCTGGAAAGGCGAGAACTTAAGATTTGTGCCCAATTCCAATCAGGACAGAGACTTATAAACCATATGAAGTGTCCTCATTTTTAGTAGAGCAATCAGGGACCGGAGCAGCCTGTCTTACAAGAAGTAAAACAGAGGCTATGGGGAAACAATTTCTGTCAATGAAAGACAGGCTAGAGACAAGCTATCAGTTACTAGAGTTATTAGAGCTGAATTACAATATTGAAACAAACAAACAAAAAAATAATACTCATGCACTGACACTGGGATTTCTGAATACCAAGGTGGTTAAGTTTAGCAGCAGCTTTTCCAGATAGAGAAAAACCAAAAACCTTCTTTTAAAACAGGCTGGAGTTCTTTGGACGGTGTTAGATAATATGCAATAGCAAAAAAAACCTAAAGTCATGTCTATGCAAGTCTGTCCTAGCCCTTAATAACCATCTGGGATGTTTTTTTGCCCTATGTAGTATACCAATTCTGCAAGTTTCATTTCATTCAGCAGGAAAGATTTCTCCATTACTTTAGGAGAAGCAAGGATTCGAGTCTAAGAGAGAAACGTGAAAAGACAGCATATAAAGACACATCCAGAAATGCTTTCACTTTGTGGATGTTCTTATCTGCACTGACAGTCCTGAAGTCATGGGTTTGTCTTAGCCACAGATCAGGATAAGGTTATATTTAACAGCAAAGACATCAGAGGAGCAGCTGCAGAGTTAATGTTCCTTATCTTTCCCCTCCCATTCACTCCCTGCAGGTATCACTGTTCTGCTTTCTCTGACTGTATTCATGCTGCTTGTGGCTGAGATCATGCCTGCAACTTCCGACTCAGTTCCACTTATAGGTAAGTTGATTTTCTCTGCTCTGTGTGCAATGTCTGATGCTTTCCAAGAGTTGTTCAAAGACTATTTCAGGACAGACTCTTTTGTTGGAAGAGTTTTACATTTCAGCAGTGTAAATCTCTGTGTTTTACATGTATAAAAAGATCCTATATGATGGATAGAAAAAGCTTCAGAAACATCTGATAACCTGGTAACTGCAAAGATTGAGGGAACACAGAATCAGGAAAACAAAACATTCAATCAAACAAACAAACAAAGAAAAAACCCCAAAACCATGGAGGTTTGGGTAGGCAAAGCACAAAGACAACACCATCAATGGACAGGGACATGTAAGATACTGGATACTCAGCCTTGGCTCCGGATATGTTGAATTTGTCCATAGAGTACTTTCAATATCACACTGGATGAAGCTGCTTCCACAGAGAACTTTTGAAGGTCTCAGTGCTGCCGGTTGTAGAAAGTTCATCTATTCTTCTGCATCACCCATCCTCCCTTGCTTCACTGTCCACTTCTCCTCTCTTCTTTTCTCTCTCCACCACAAGCAACTCAAGATACTCCAGGTAAATTCAAATGCTTTTTTTAACATATTCTGAGAGCTATGGGACAAGTTATCTTCTCGAGAATGTGGGCCAAACAGTCATTGTTGCATTCTCTCTTTTCACAGTTTCATCCCTTTACCTTGATCTTATTGATCATCAGTTTCTCTACTATGAACTGAAGAAAAGGTTACCCACCAACCTCATAGCAGAACAGAGAAAATAAATCTGTTCTGGTTTACAAAATAAAGAAGTATGAAAACCACAGGAAAACTCACAACCTGTTCAGTTCTCATGTCCTGAGCTAAAGTCTATATTTGCATACAATTCACGACTAAAGTACACATTGCAGACAGTAGAAATAAACAAAAAATTCAACAATGTATCTAGCTGCCAATAGAAGGTGCACTTCACCACTGAATAATTAAAGCCTCACAAAAATTATATCATGAATAGGACAAAAGAGCATTTACTCAGGCAACATCATTGTCTTACTTGAACAATCAAAACCTCACATCTAACTCTTGAGAAGGACAGCGACTATGCAACAGTAAGGGCGACAATGCCCACAAGCAAGTGTCTTAGAAAGCTTCCAAATAACTTGAACTTCTTACAGACAGTCAGCAGGACTTGCCTCTGAGTAACAAAGGAGCTTCCAAAAAACTAACAAAACCTCCCTCTAAACATATAACTAGGACTCCATAGAGGCAGCTACAATTTTAAGATAAACTTTGTCCGCAGGGAGGAGACGCAAGGCATCTTGAGCAAGTCTTGACATAATTTATCTTTGTTCATTACATAACAAAAGCTGTTTGTAATTAGTGATGCACTTGCCAATGCCCAGTCCACTACCTTTACGCAGACCATTGTCTACTGGTACATTCCCTTATCATAGACCCTCAAAAAAAGCTGTGAATAGTTATGTATTATTAGAAAATTTTGGTGCTGTAATAGCATACTGGTTTCTGCTTATCACAGCGTAGAATCATAGAATGGTTAGAGTTGGAAGGGACCTTAAAGACCATCAAGTTCCAACCCCCCTGCCATGGGCAGGGAAACCTCCCATCTAGACCAGGATACTCTAAGCCCCATCACGTATCAGAAAAGTGTGAGGGGCAGCAGTGTGGGGGAATCCTGTTTCCTTCTCCAGGTGAGTATCAGTTCCACTATTAGACCTCTTGCCTCTTTTTGCTCTTTTTGTATCACAAAGGGAAGGAGATGATAAAGAGAGTCTCTTCTCATGAGTTTGCTTCATTGAGAGCATGTATTGTTGCCAGTTTTTTTTCTTTTGCACATATAATTAGGACATATCAAAAGTTTTAGACATGCACCTCTCGAAGTTGACACGTAGGTCAAACACAGTCTGTTTCTTTCATCTGTTCATTTGACAAATTTCATTTTGTGAAACACTGTAAAAGAATAATCCCTGCACATGGATACTTTGTAACAACCTGGAGATTGGCTTCGGATATGCAATTGACCGAAGTCTAAACCAAACCTGTGGCTACTCTATCTGATACTATCCTGTTACAGCCCAAAAGCAAAATGAACATTGATACAGTGGCGTCCACTTAGGACACATGCTCTGAAACTCGACCATCCCTGTGCAATGTCTCATCCCCTCTTGTTTTGTAGGGTGTCAAGATAGATCAGGTTGAAAAGGACTTCAGGAAGCGGAAGACTGTGTGAAAGATGTGTTTCTAAAGATGTGTTTCTAAAGATGATGTAAATGCTATCTACTGTTCTCCTTTTTTCTGCAAATATTACCATTTTATTATAGAAGAATCATGTTGGTCAGACATGATTTACCCTTGTTCAATTCAGGCTGGTGGTTCCCAGTCCCCACCCTCTCCCTCAAGTGTCCAGAAAAGTTCTTCTAGAACTTACTTCTTTATCTACTTGGGGACTGATGATGGGTACAAGGTCTGTCTATCCAGTTGTTATGGATCTTACCCCATCCCTGTGGCCGTGGAGCAATACCCTTAGGACTCTTGGTGACATGTATCTGGTCCCATGGACTTGGATAGGTTCAGATCTCACCATCAATCCCTGACTCCATCCTCATGCGCTCTTGGCTGTTTTAACTGTCCTTGAACTATGTCTCTAAGCAAAGAATGATATGAGACCTTCATGGCAAAAACTGAGGCTAAGTGCTCACTGTATAGGCCTTTTCTCTGTCCACTGTCACAGAATCATCTGCCTCATTCTGCAGCAAACCCATGTTTTCTTTATTCAGCTTTTTAGTTTGTGTAGTCATAGAAACTCTTTTTATTCCCCTTGACGGCCTTGGCAGTCTTAACTCCTAAGCATTAACATTCCCAAAAGGACTCCTAATGCCCAGGCAGTTCTTCCAAATGTTTCTTTTGCAGGCTGTCCCTGCTCTCTGCACTCCCCACCACCACCACTTCCGCACTGGAGGATCAACATGAGTTCACACACTGACCTCTTTATGTGTTTACTTACTTCTCTGAGTAATAGAAGGGTCTTTTCTTGCACTTGAGGGCTGCTGTACTTTAAACCCTTGTAGTTTTGTTGTGCTACTTTATCTTTCAGAGCTTCTTACAGTAGGATCTCAGTTACTTGTTCCCTGAAGTCCAAGGTATACATTTTGGTGTTTTCATTCCTCACTTCCTTCACAGTCTTGAACTCTACCATTTCATAAATTATTATGAAATAATGCAATACAGCCCAGGCTGATATTGATTATCATGTTCCCAATGTTCTTCCTTGCTAGTGAAGAGCATCTGTGCACCACCTCTGGTTAGTCTGTCCTGTACTTGTATTAAGAAGTTATCACTGACATCCTTCAGAAATCTTCTTGACTACTTGTATTACACTGTGTTGCCTTTCAGCAGATTTCAGGGAGGTCCAAGTCCCCTGTGACAACCAGGATATAAGATACAGAGGCTTCCCTGAGTCACATTAAGACTCCATTCCCATTTCCACTTTTTTTTGGATGGTCTATAATGCACTCTCCCTACAGCATCACTCTTGTTGGTCTCCTCACTGAATCTGACCCACAAGCTCTCCAGCAGGTCTCATCCATCCCATAGAGGAGCCCTTCATATCCAAGTGGCTTCTTCACATAAAGGACAACACATGTTGTCTTCGCTGTCTGCTGCCCCTGAAGAGCTACCTATACATCAGAACAGTAGTGGGAGATATCCCAGCACATCTTTGTTGTCCCAGCAATGTTATTGTTTCCTGACCACAACCAGAGTTGCTGTTGCTCCCGTGCTTCACCTTGTTTCACCATTCCCGATTTCTTTTTTGTTCTGTCCACCCAGCACCATTTTCTTCCACCCTTATCCAGCATTGGTCCATTAATTTGGGTTGTAATCTCCCACAGTGTTCCTAGGTTAAAGCTCTGCTCTTAACTCCTTGGTCCACTCCAACTAGGCAGGAAAAACTGCTCACCCATTTGGCTTCTGCACCCAAACAACCCTTGTTCAGCCAGTGCTCAAGCCTGGATTCTGTGATTTTACATGATCTTGAGCTCTGAAAAGTTTATGCTTATTCTAACAAGATAGCACAGCATAAAGTCTCCACAATACTCTTATAGGTGTTCCCAGATGGGATATTTTAGCTGCTGAACTTGATACACAAGGTCATGATTGCAATTCTTCAGCATGATCTCTGGTCCAGTTGACCATCCTCATGAATTAGTGTGAGGAAAAGTAAAGTTCTGTCAGACTTTCCTCATATGGCAGGCTTCCAAATCCTTTGATCACCTTTGTGGCCCTTATCTGGACCCTCTCCAACCTGTTCACATCTTTTTTGCATATTTGGAACCAAAATGGAAGACAGTGTTCCAGATGTGGCCTGACAAGTGCTGAGTTGAGTGGGATAATGACTTTATCTTTATCTCTGCTGGTCATGCCTATTTTAAATGGAAACCAGCATCTTGTTGGCTTTCTTTTCTGCTGTAGCACACTATTAACTCATATTCAGCTTGTTGTTTACCAAGATCCCCGGGTGCCTTTCCATATAGCTGCTCCCCAGCTATGTAGATCTGAGCCTGTGCTGCACTCCTCGATTATTTTTTCCTAAGTGCAAGACCTTGCACTAGTTTTTGTTGAATTTGGTAAGGTTCTTGTTAGCCCACTCTTGCAGCTTCTCTGGGTCTTCCTGCAGAACAGCTCTTCTTTCTGAAGTCTCTACTTCCCTATTCAGAGTACAATCATCAAAGGAGAAGGAAAGGGTGTGTGGGAATCAGAGTAAAAATTCTTTTGTATCTGTTTAAAACATTAACTGTCCATAGCAAAGCAAACTAGCTAAGCCATTTAGCTCAAAAAAATTATTAAAGTCCCATGACATCTAGAAGCACAATATTTTGTCCAGAATCCAAACAAAGTCAATTATATGAACAAGGTTTGTTTCACTTCAAGGTCCTGACGTGTCCTCCTGCCCCCCTGGAACTTAAAAATCTCTGAAGTGTAACTCCTAAAAGACTTGCAGACCATGAC